AAAATTAGACAAAGCTAAGATGGCACTTTGTATTTACAACATTTTGAAAGAGGATATGTGCCGAGCTTGAAAGGCAACTTATGGTTCTACTTGCGAGCAAGTGTATGTGTGGTAGAACTTTTTTCAACCCTGACGGGCTAGCTCACAGAGCCTGATCCAATATGATTTCTTAGGGCCATACGTGCCTCATGTTGCTTTACGTAATATAATCTTTTTTGTTTCTTTCAACCTTACCTAGCAAGGCCTTGGCTACTTGAAAGTCTAATTCAAGCAAAGCCACATGCATTAGTAAGCATGTTTGTGTTAACATCCATTGTTGTGATTCATTTAAAGCAATACTAATCATTCATAATGAGCATTCAAATGAGATCACACATGGATTATCAAAAGCTCGTCACGTGGAACTAGACCATCATAGACGATCACTTCTTTCAAAAAAGTGAACACTTGTGTTAATTGGTCAATTCATTGAGTTAATTTTGACAATTTTGGTGTTACTTTTTACAATAATCCACCTTCAAGATTCAAAGACATGTTATTAGCTAGCTTGATTTGATTTTGTTTTATTTTTGCACGATTTATGTATTAAAAAAAGTAAGCATGTTTTCACCCTTCTCTATTGGAATTAAAATTCATAATACTCAGAAGGATTAAAAACCAATTTTATTCTTGAATTATACACAAAAATTTATAAATACTTATAAATTTAATTATAAATTATTTATATTTTTTAATCTCAAAATTTTTTTTACTCCGTTGCCCTACCATTAAGCCAATAGATGTTGATCATTTCTGACTTTGTGGGGCCTATAATTTTGCATAATTGATGAGCCATGCATGTACAATATTCATTTTTTAATATTTTTTTATAATAAAATATTTTACGTGTGGGTCCTACTTCATTTCTTCATCCCATTCCTAATCTCTCATCCATCCTCCTCTATCCGCTCTCCATTCCCTCTCTCTCCTCCATTTCTTCTCTCCGTGGTCTCCCTTCTCTCTCCTCCCCGCATTCTTCTACTCAAGCTTTCCTTTCTACTTTATTCGCTTTTCTTCCTTTACCTCCAAACTCCATCATCGTCCATTCCTTTCATGCATGGCTCCATGCGCCCTCGGCCGTTCCTGTACCTTAGCGCACAAACTTGTATGGAATCTCTATGTGTACAAGACTCAGGTTTTGAGCAACCTGAGACCAGCCTCCAACATCTTTAATGGCTTGACTAGCTCAAGAGTAACACCTCAACAAGTCAACATCCACGTCCTTCGAGGTACTTGCTACTCATGTGTGGAACGCGTTCGTGTTGGGGTGTGGTCAAAGCAATGCGAACGAGGTAGAGGAGAAGGGAATGGGGTACAGGTTAGGTCTGGTAAAGAGGGCAAAAGAGCAAAGTTGAATCCAAGAGATAAGGAATGAAGGTGAGAAAGAGAAGAGGGAGGGAAAGGAGGGAGGGGGAGGCAGTGTAGTCTTGCTCTGTTTCTTTCTGCAAAAACAGAGCAACTTTTTCTTCGTAGAATATCATCGTTAAGCATTATATAGGAGTCATATTCATTTGGGCCACACAACTACCAGTCAAAAGCTTCATGCATACATACGTGCATAGCTTGCGGTACTCCTCTCTCTCTACCTTCTCTCTCTTTGGTCATCTTCCACCAAGTGCTGTAAACGCTCTAAGGTTCACTGTTGTTGTCTTGTTAAGCTGTCCTTGAGCGGCATTGGGATCCCATAGATATTAGAGTTCAAGCTCAATGCTGTCCTTGAGGAGCGAAGCAGAGAGGGAGACAGGAGACTGGAGACTGAGAGAGAAAGTAGGGAGAGAAGAGAGAGAGGAGAGAAGGATACGAAGGGGGGAGAGATGGGGGTTTGAAAGATAAAGAGATGAAGCACAGAGGGAGATGGGAGATGAAGCAAGGAAGGAGACGGGAGAAGAGAGTGTGGACGAGAAGATGATGAGATCGAGCGAGGGGGGAGAGAGAGAGAGGAGAAGGGAGGATAAAAAAACATTAAAAAAAATAACGTGGGGATAACAAATAATATTTTATAATAAAAAATATTAAAAAAATAAAAATGGGCCCACTAACAAAAAAAAAGAAAGATCAAACGGTGATAACATAAAAAACATTTGAGATTGATACACATAAATAATTCATAATTAAATTTAAAAATATTTATATATATTTTTATATATTTTAAAAGTATTTTTTACCTTTAACCCTACTTAAAAACATAGATAACTCAACGTGGGGCACCTGGTTTCAAAACTGTGACTAGTTACCGTCACATCGGGATCAGTTGAATGCAATAGAGATTTTCTTGACCCTCGTTGAAACAATTGGCAGCAAGCATCCAAATTCTTTATTGTTCACTCTTTGATAGTTTTTTATTAGGTGGAAAAAAACTAAAATACTTGCTCGAGGCACCACACGCTATTGAGAGATCTCAATGGGAATGACGACCTAACTCGAACGCATTAGCCCAATCACAAGGAGTTGAGATAAGCCGATATTCTCCTTCGCATTTAACATAATAAACAAGCAAGTCAATATAACTTCCAAATAATATTTTTCCTCACGCACATGCCATGTCCAAATATGAATTATCAGACCTTTTGATACAAGTTACAACCGGCATAAAATTTGTAATTTCTTAACTTAATTCATGAATTTTTCCTCTCGAAGTTACATAAACAATTTTTTTTTCTTTTTTTGCTGGGGGAATATATAAAAATTAACTTCATAGAATTTTTAAGTTTAACGTAACTTAAATCAATCAAATCAAACCTTAGATTGAAATGTGCTGAAAAGTGAATGTTGGTATTTATGAGTGATAAAGATGAGTGCTATTAATCAGCCAAGCACATGCTTGATAGACTTGATTCCTTTCTTTCTTTCTGTCTTAATTTCTGAAATAAAAAAGTGCTAAAATCACAAAAATTATAACCTAAGCAGCGTTTTCAAACAGTCTCCTTATATCATCCACCATCTTAGTTAAAAAAAGATGGGGGTTGATCAAACGTGATAAAATAACCAGAGCTGTTAACTGCATGAGTATGGACTTTTTTTTTTTTTAGCCAAACATGAGTATATACTTGATTTCTTTTAACTATATTTTTCCTCCACCTCACTGTCACTACAGATATAAATCATTTAGATTAAATTTTAACAACGCAAATCAATTTATAATTTTTAAAACTATTAAATTTAAATTGTAAAATCCAATCAAGCGATTTGATTTATAGGATACATCTCTAACACGTCACTCTGTTTTTTTTTTTATGAGACGAAAACGACAAAGCAAAAATAAAACACAAGCCCAAGACAACGCTCTCTGGAGTTGATGCCATATCATGCATGTTACTCTTTTTTTTTTTTCATTGCTCAAATATATTCTTTTTAGAGGTAATTTTATTTTAAATACAGTATGATATTAAATGTAAACATCTTTTATAACAAAAATTTAAATCTTAACTTATCACCACACTGTTATAAAGAAGTAGTCCATTTTAATATATCAAGATCCTGTTCGGTTCAATTGCAAACATTTTTAATAGTGTAATGCAGTGCAATGCAATGATGTGCAATGCAATGTTCTTTACCATTACTGAGGTTGGTTGATTATTAACAAGATGGGAAAAATATTTTTTATATTTAATCAGAATTATTAAAAGTCTAAAATGCCCCTTAATTTTATTTTTAAAAAAGCTCCCACTGATCGTCTTCTTCCTCTGCCGCACGTAGAATGGAGATCAATCAATCAACTTCTTGTGGAACATGTCATTGTTAAGACAAAAGAAAATTCCTCTAATAAATAAAAAAGCCACCAAAAAGTTTGTTTATACATTATCTTCTCTACTTTGAACGTTCATCGCTTTTCTTCTCTACTTTTCATGTCTGCGTCTTATCTTGATGGATGCATGTTAATGACTAAACACAAGAAAGAGACCCAGAAGGGGGTAAAATTAAAATAGACTTTCAAGATAAATAGACCCACAAAACCCATTGCTATGCTCCTCTTCGTCGTGGATGAGAGCGGCGATGCTCACAAGTGAGACGAGAACGCAAAGAATCACAGGGTTGAACGCAGGTGCCACACACTTGATGGGGAGGGAGGAGGCTAATGGTGGAGGGAGAGATGAAGCGAGAGGAGAGATGGTAGGAGAAGAGGTCAATGAAGGTAGGGGAGATGAAAAAGGAAGAGGCCGCTAATGGTGGAAAAGACGAAGAGGTCGATGGTGGAGGCAGAGGAAGGGCGACACTAGTGGTGGTCAAGATGATGGGAACGGCTGACGGCAAAGATAAGGGGTAGGCGGACGGTGGTGGTTGAGGTGACAGAAATGGCTAACTGTAAAGATAACGGGGAAGGCGAACAGTAGTGATGGAGTGTGGGGAGAGGAAGCTAAAATGGAAGGGGCAATTTTGGAATAAGGAGATGATGGTGAGGTGCGATGAAAATTCATAGAGGGAGGGCCGTGAATGAATATTATCATGTTTATGATAATGATGTGTAATAATGATTAACTACTAACTCACTTAAAAAGCTAACCAAACAATTCTCTCAATAGTAATGCAATGTCCATTACCATTGTACATGTGCAATGGTATTGAACCAAATATGTTGCTATCATGGATGAACACATGTTACCATAGCATGTTAAGAAATATACATACATATATATATATATATATTTTTTCATGTACTGAAGCGTCAAATAAAGTGGCTTAAAACATGTTATTTATTTATTTTATATATTTTGCCTTGTATAAGTTTCGCTGAGGTTTTGTCCCAAGTGTGTATGTGTGCTGTGTTATATCGATGGATAATTTTTTTTTTTTTTTGTTGAAGTATATTGAAGATGTCAATGTTGAGGAGCAAAAGTGGTGCCGTTAACGTCACCGTTAGTTGGTCCCCATAAGGGAAGGAAGAGGATACAATCGGAAATAAAGAAAAAGGCAAGGGCAAAAGGTGGTGCATAAACGTAGGAGAACGAACTCCTGGCTTGATTTGTGTCTGTGAGAGAGCTGTGCCTAATACAAATAACCGCACAGCGCCTCGTTCTCTCTAAAAACTTCTTAATCAAACCACTTCTCTTCTCCCACCTGCCTGCCTGCCTGCCTTCCTTCCTTCCTTCCATCCATCCATCCATCCTTCTCCTTCTGTGTCTAGGGTTTTCTGAAATCTCCCATTGTCCCGCGCTCTTGTGATTCGATACCGTTTCTTTTAGCTGCTCAGAGAGAGGGTCGTGGTGGTTCTCAATGGCCACCTCAACTATGAAGTCTCAGCCTCTCCACAACTTCTCTCTCCCTTTCTTGAAATGGGGTGGCAAGAATCAGACCAATACTACCCATCGTTGCCGCCGTCAGACATCCGGCGACTCCTCCCAACCTATTGCGGCTGTTGCTGACCATAACTCTGAGCCGGAGTCGGAATCCGAAACCCGACCTTGTAAGGTCGGATCGAGAACTTCCAGAAACCGATTTGGGTTTTCTTCGGGCTATCTGGGAGAGAAATCTCTGAAGCAACGGCAGCAGCATGAACCTTTAGAGGTAGCGAGTAACAATGAAACTGATGATGAAGCTGGAGTGAGGAAGAGAGAGACAGAGGACGCTGAAGAAGCTGAAGCTGAAGATATAGTGCAGAAGCCATGGAATTTGAGGCCCAGGAAACCAATATTCTCGAGAGGCACGGTGGAGATCGGAGTAGGACCGTCGAGGCACGGAGATTTGCAGGAAACATCCCCGGCGGTTACCGGTGTTCATTCGGTTCAGCAAGAGGAGAACCATCCACAGCCGAAATTACGTCGCTTGAGGTGTGCCACGGAGACGCAAAATACCGAAAGAAAGAAAAAGAGGAGATTCTGGATCGCTTTGTCAAAGGAAGAGATTGAAGAGGACATATTCGTGATGACTGGGTCAAGGCCCGCCCGAAGACCTAAGAAAAGGCACAAGAATGTGCAGAAACAACTTGATGTAAGGGTTCTTTCCTCCGTCATATTTCTTGGTCATATGGATTATCTGCTTGCGTGGATTTTGATCATGCCATGTCTTAAACAAATAACCTTTCTTGTTGAATTTCAGTTTGTTTTCCCTGGCTTATGGTTGGTGGGACTCTCTGCGGATGCTTACAAGGGGTTACATACTCCGCCAAAGGTTCGCTTTCTACTCTCCTCGCTGATATTTAATGATTGATCATAGTAGTTACATAATCGAAGTGATAAACATGGTGCCATCTGCAAACTGGTTGATGACTCTGGGTTCTGTGTTTTTAAGATGGGGATTGGCGATTGTGTTTCTGGTTCTCGGGTTATTTATTTATCGAGAAAGCTGATCATTTGATTATGCATCTTGCAGAGGTAGAGAGAAGCCGTAACGAGTTGCAGTTTGCAAAATGGGTTGAAAGTCATTGGGCTTCGGTAAATTGAGAATCTTGAATGGAGGTACAAATGCGCTGAATTTCCCGTAGATCAAATGAATTACGAAGACGAATCCTTAAAGTCAAGGTTGTTAATTGCTTTAGTTATGTTTACTTGCTATAGGCTAAGATGCTGGAGTTCTGTTTAATTCGTGTACCTATCTATTCAACTGTAACCGAAGGAGAAATATATAGATGGTTAATAGCGTGAAATTAGCAACAATGTTAAGCGTGTGATTAGGAGATTCTGCTTTGGGTTTTCTTTCATTGAATAAATTCTGATTCTCCAATTGTTCAAATGTTTGACAGGCTTCCCTACGTTGTTGGGGGCCAGAGTAGCAAGTTTACAGTTGTTTTACGAACCCTCAATTCAATTCTAGACTGATTATCGGAGGCAATCGTGCTTCCTAGCTCTCGTTGAGCCATTTTGGAGGAACCTTGATGAGGTTGAAAGTTAACAACCATGACTGCAAACTTTGTGATTGTGGCCCGAATATGTTGATGTTTCATGTTTTTAATGCCATGAATCCACTTTTTAAAACTCTGCATTGATATTGATAGTCATCTATAGCACTGTATGAAAACTAGCAAGATCAGTTACAAAACGGGAGGGCAATTTTAGGGCACTTAAGAATATTCTTCTTCTTCATTTTGCCTTTTTTGCATTTGTAGTTTAAGAGAAAATATATGGCAAGGGAACCTTGTCAGTTTGCGCAGTTTTGTTCTCTGGCATACTGGCAAATTCCCATTTGTTCAGAGCATTATATTTGCCATGCGGCTATAGTAATTTGAGGGCAGCTCAGGTTAATACTGCCGTCAGTAACTAGATAGTTTCCAGCAACTCATAAAATGCTCTGAGTTGTGCTAATGATCTTTACTGAAAGAGAATCAGGTACTTTATAGTTTTTTAAAAGGCAGAATATCAAGGAAGGACCATTAAAATGATTCAATATCAGACAAGGACTTGGACAGATCAAAATTTGAATTTTCATTTGTCAATTATCAACGTTACTTGTTACAAGTTCTTGTTGAATATTAAATCATTTCAGAAGTCTTTCATTAATATTCTCCCTTTTTAAAGTCCATATGCTCAACAAGTGGGAAAAAACACAAACCTAAGCTGTTGGTGAATTTTATTGAGCCGTAAACTTCTATTTAAGAGCTAACCATCTTCAGGTCTTGTACACTTTCTTTGCTTGATTCACATCCTAAAAGAGGCCCCTTCCACAAAGTATGGTCTGTTCCGGACTGGTGCTGATAAATAAGGCATATATTTAAACTGGCATGCTGAGCTATATGCAATTATGCATATTTTTTCATGATAATCAGATTAGGGTTTTCATTCATGAGGTGATCAGTTAAGTTTTTCGACCAACACTTTTGCAAAGTTATTGCCTTCTCAGTGTTCAACTAATGCTGCTGCGAGGAAAAATTTGAAAATTCTTTTCCTTGACTAATATTAATCAAAGTAATTTAGAGTGGGACCGTGAATCTGTGAAATTTAAAATAAGTTGTACTATTATACTCTCACTGTTTACAAATATAACGTATTTTTAATTAAATTTTATCTCCTAATAAAATAATTATTTATTTTTTAATTAACTCTATTTTTTGTATTTATTTTTATTAAATACTTTATAATAAATAAATATTTATTATTAATAGGGACATTTAAAAAAAAAATAGTGATTACATCTCAAAAGATTAAAAATACTTTATATTTTTTAATATTTAACTGTTTTTAACAGAGAGAATGTTCAATATTGTATAGCTCTATACAGTTTTTATGTTATGCAATGAATTTTTTCACTGATTTAAATTTACTATTTTCATTTGTATGTTTTCTATTATATCCTAAAGAGTAAAATATTTGTCGTATTATTTATACCTTATTATGTTTTTCTTATAAATTTTGTATTGAAATATTGATTATTGTTCCATCACATTTGTTTTTTTTTTCCTCTCTTTAATATCCTATTTGAAAAAAACTCTACGTAATTAATAAAAAACTTTATTTAAATTTTTATATGTATCATATATATGTATCATAAAATAAAGATTTATTTCTTTGGTGAAAAATAAAGATATATTTTTATTATTTTAAATATCATATATATATAATGTTTTCCAGAATTTTTCGCATGTCCTTTGTATTTCTTCTTCTGACATGTTCATTTGTCTTCTACGGTTTTGTTAAAATAATTTAAATTTTAAATATATCAGTAAAAGTAGAGGCATTCCAGACAAAGCGCGGCTAACGGTTCAAGTAAATGAGAAAAAGAAAGCCACGGAAAAGAAGCCCGTGATGATGATGATGATTTAAGATTATAATAACTTATATAGTTGAATATTATTTTGGGCGTTAACGGGAATAGAGTGGTCAAATAAGTGAAGCTTGTTATTATTATTATTTTGCCCTTATAAATGAGATGAAGAAAAAACTGCTCTCTTTAATTTTATTTATAAATTAAAAATTATAAGTCGCTTTTTTAAATTTTATTAACTTTATTTTAAAATTTAATAAATTTTTAATTTTATTTAAAGTATTTAATAAGGTCAAAATTAAAATATAAATAGAAGTATTAAAAATTGATAAATACATTATCAATAAGACCAAATTTATTTTTTTTACCTTATAAATAAAAGTAGAAAAGTATTTAAGAAATGGAGTAGAAGCATTGTACTATTATTATTGTTATGGGCATAGATGGATAAACAAGCACGCTTAGCAAACTAAATAGGAATTAACTGTGACAAATGCCGACAGCCGCAAGCAGAGTCATCCCCGCGGTATCAAACTTGAGGATTTTATTAACGACAAAAATGGTTGACCGTGCCTTTATAAACCTGCCACAAGTTAGACCAATGCGCAACAGACACGAATTTTGGGATGATATCAACTAGCTCGACTCGGATAATAGCTTATCTCGAAAAGAAAAGAAAAGGAGAAAAAAAAAAAAGTGGTTTCCTGTGTCTGTGTGCGCGTTGAAATTCGTTTATGGTGATGCCTTTGTTCTTTCATTTGTATTACTTTTGTATTTACTTATTCTATTAATAAATTTCTCAGCATGTTTTTTAGCCGCGTGCCACCCCACAAACCATTGCGTTGCACTTGGTGATTAGATAAATAAAATGAATGGAAACCATTAGCGCGTTCTGGTCCCAAGAAGCCAAGGGTTGCGATTCAAGTTGAGGAAGCATCGAGGCAAAGGATTTCTCCTGATGAAGCTTTTTTCAAAGGTCAAGTCTTCATTAAATCTTACATCGTGAGGATGGTCGGATGAGGGAGAGAAGAAGCAGTTTGCCAGAGAAGAGGAATGGACTCGAATTCATGAAGCCGGTTTAAGGGATGGATGGCTCTTGTTCGTTCAAGTGAAGCAGCAGAGAAAGCAAAGTTGGAATCTCAATCAGAGCCAGCAGCCCGGTGCTGGTGTTCTTATAATAATTATTTCCTTTTTTTTTTTTAATTAACAGAAACAACAACCATTTTCTTAGGTAAAAGAATTAAAGTTATATTTAGATGAATGAAAATTTAATTTCAGATTTGAAGCAAATCTTCTATTTGATATTGTTAGAAATGAAGAGCGATCGCCTAAAAATGGAAGGAGGGAAGAGACGGGCAAAAACAGCTTAATAATGCTACATTTTAATTCAAAATTTTAAAGTTTAAATTTATGAATCCTTTTTCTTTATTATATATTAATTGTTAAGTTCAATTTTATTCGATATGAAATTTCTCACATTGTCTTATATTCACTTACACTTGAACAACTTAACACATGTATAAAAGTCTATGAATTTAAATTAAATCCAAATCTATATTTTATCATAATTTTTTTATATTTCAAATTCTTTCTATATCTTAATTATTTAAATTTTTTTTCAAATTCTTTTATTTTTTTCAAGTTTTCATTATTGATATTTATTACTTCATCTTTTTTCTCATCTCATGTTCTCATGTATCATCAATTAAAGAATAGATATCAGCTTTTAACCTTCAATTTTTTGTGTTTTTCCTCAAACTCATCTAATCTCTTCTTTCTTTGATGTTTTTTATTATATTCAAACATAGGATATATGAGTTTAAAATGAAAGATTTTAAATATAAAATTTAAATTTAAATTCATTCATCTAAACATTATATAAATTTCTTGTCGATGAGCCGAGGACAATTTCTTGGCTGGACTAACAATGTTGACGATTTTGGTCCTGGAGGATTTTGTACTCTGACAATATTACAGCCCACAAGAGAGAGCCCAGATTTCAGAAGGAAAGGAAAGAAGGGCAGAAACAAACCTGGCGTCACGGTCTTGTTAACACAGCACACGCTCTCTGGTCTGTGTTATCTTTGGACTTGGTCTGCCACGGCTTTTAATCTTCTTCATATATGCTCCTCTGATTCAACTTATAAAGTTAAAAAAAATAATTTATTTTTATTTATAAAATATTTGATAATCTTTAATAATTTTTTATATTTTTATCCTTATTAAATGGTTTAAATAAAAATACCACTAATAAAATTGAATAATATTTATCAGTGATAAAAATAAAAACTTGTCAAATTTTAAGATGAAGTTAATAGGATTTAAAATTATTTTAATTTTGATAAAATATGTTAAAAATAATTTATAAATAAAATTAAAAAGATCACATGAAAACGTAGCTGGGAAGCCTACGCATCACGGGTTGGTTCTGAATTGGGTTACATGGACCGTCATAATTTTATCAACGTATGTTTATGTGTCCTGGAATTTAGTAGCCCTACTTACACGACAAATCATTATTTAAAAATTGGTGCAAATTTAAATATTAGTACTTAAAAAACTTTAAAGCTAAAATCCAAATATCAATGATCAAATCACATATAAGATTATCGTTCAAACTGCAACAGTCACATCCGTCTTCTTTAATCTTTATCAACAACAGCATTTGAGCCTTGCTAAGGAAAAATATTTATTTTTCAGGTTTAGTTCGGATGGAGGAAAAAGTGAAAGGAAAATAGAGATGAGAGAATATTAAGGAGTAAAACTCCCAAAAATAGTAAATTTATTTATTATTTTTAGGAGTATTCCCTCCTAGTGTCATTATCTCCTCCATATTTTTCTTTCCATCCATTCTAAGGATTCAAGCGAGAATAAGTTGAACTCTCACTCATCACCTCATCTATAACTAATTATGAAACAAAGTTGGTGGGGTTATATAATTTTTGTTTAATGTGTGTATTATATTGATGGAAATGTAATTAAAAAAAATGAAAGAGATGATGATACACATACGGCCATACCACACCGTTTCCCTCTTTGGACTGTATTCCCCACAGCACTCTTTTCTCACTTTCAAAAACAATCCAAATGCACC